TTTTTTTTTTCTTTTTCTGTGGGAGGTTATCTGGAAGGGTGGGAGTGTTGTGATATTGCCAGGGTTGTTAGGAACTTCCTGATAACCACATGCCAGAAGCATTCCGGATGAATGTGAGGAGGTACAAGGAATGGTATGAATTGGAAAGAATGTAGCCGGTTGTTGGAATGAGGACGAGGAATGGTATGGATTGAAAGGAATGGGATCACTTGGTGGACTCGGATATCTGGTCGCTTGGATTCTCTGTAGTATATAGTGGTCATCTACTTCAGTGGTAGGAAGGAAGTGAATTAAGTTAATAAGAAAAGACTTCACAATTCTTGCTCGCTCAAGATTATATCCTTCCCCGAAATAGTGCCCAATTGAATTCTCCTCTTTACTCCACCTAAAATCTCCTTTCAACTTCAGCCTCATGAGTTGATAGACCGAGTGATATGATACGCATGAACGGTACGCTGGTGTCAACAAGTTCTAGTAGCCCTCAAGGTGAGAAAATGGACCCTTTATGGAATTTGCTGTTATCCGATCAGGATTGATCACTCGAGGGAGGGTCATCCCGTTTTGCTGTCTTGGGCTGGGGTTGATGGTATCTACAGTATCATACCTGAGGTGTTAAGCTGCTAGAACTTTGCGGACGCGAGTGCGCAGATGACTAGCTTGTGTTCCCTCTGGGAAACGTCCTGGTTTTATGATATTGGTGTATTTGGGTTTTTCTACAGTATAATGATGAGTAACTTAACGCCGCAGGACAAATCCCCCATCAGCCTGTAGATTTTCCATGCTACAGTATTGGGAGTGGTTCGTAACTTAGGGCCTTTCACGAGCTTTTTATTTGCAAAGTCGTAAACTGGTAAGCTTCACACACTTACAAATCGAACAGCCAAATTGAGCCTTCGCACACGCAAGAGAATTCTAAAAGAGGACCGTAAAAATCAAATTAATGCAAGGAAAAGAGAGGAACAAACACAAAGGTTAGATTCTCAGGTACAAACTTTGTAGTTATAGATTGTCTTTACCTGTTCTCTCATCTCTCTTCTGCTCGTCTCTCGTCTTCGTCTCCTAGTTGAAAAGAAAAGGGAGAGGAGAAATCCCTTTTATCCCTCTGGGGTCCACAGCACATCACTATGGCTAGTTACAGCCAAACCTTAACAAATCAAACAAAACCTAACTAACACTACAGTATAAAACCCTAGGTTTATACAAAAGAAAAGAAACACATTTTCACCCCCTACAGTACTAGTGGTTCCATCGCTTACCCCCCATGGTTCTTCCTCACCTGCCAGTCACGGTTTCACCTTTTCTTCCATTTCGGTTCTCCTAGCCTCTAATTTCTTCCTTGCAAGCTCGTCTAGCGACTTGAAAACATCAATCCCCTCACAACTTAGGAATAAACTAACTACTTCCTCCCTGTCCCATTGAATAGGAGGACGTAGTTGCGGCCAATAGTTGTAATTCACCGGGTTTACGTCCACCCGCTCATCCATTACCAGCATCCTCGCAACTGCCTCGTGTCTGTACGTTACCGCACAATTCAGTGGTGTGCTGCCGTAGCCTGTCCTGGGGTTGACGTTGATGTCTGGGTGGTCTAGAAGGAGGCGGACCACCTTGTCATGCCCGATTGCAGCAGCCACAATGAGGGGTGTTCTGGAGCTTCTGTGTTTCGTGGCATTCACATGCACTCCTGTATGGGAGAGTAGAAGCCTGACTGCTTCTTCGTGACCCATTTCCACTGCAATCAGTAGGGGCGTTTGACCGTCGGCGTCCCGGGCATTGACATCTATTCCCGACTGGGAGAGCAGTAATTTCATGACGGGTGCGTTCCCACAGCTTGCTGCGACGGATAGCGGTGTTTGGCCCTTGTGCAATATACTCCCCACTTCAATACCACATTCTAGAAGCTTTCGTACAACCTTTTCGCTTTGGGTTTCTATTGCATCGTTGAGGAGCCTACCGGTGCCTGCCAGTTGGAGGATGCCTCTTTTGATGAGCCTTTCCACAGCTGCTTCGTCTTCGCGCTCTATCGCCGAGTAGAATGCTTTCATACCCCGTTCGGTGAGGTGAGGGGTGCATACTGCATCCAGGAGAACAGGGGTGATGAGGATTGCAAGGCGCCGATTAACCGTGAGGAGGGAGTTGAGATGGTGGATGTCGTGGCTGAGGTATTGGCAGATGTGCAGGATTATTTCATGCGGGAGGCTGGAGAACGGCATAATGTTCTTTCACACACCGGAGCGTCCTGGGGATTTGTCTGCGGGTTTTATGGTAACGGTATTCTAGTGCCGGAGTGGAGGAAGGGAGGATGGGAAAATCTTTAAGTGGTGATTGATTATTTGCACTTCCAAGACTTGTCACAAATCCGTTAACTTTGCCCAGCCCAGCACCGGCACTATGTCCCGGTAGGCTTGGAAATTTGTTGTCCAAGTGTATGGTATCTCTTTTGCTTGTTTAGGAAAAGTGCTGATGGCGGGGGCACATCAGATCCTCATAGGTGTAGCTTGCTCCATCTGTTATACACAAGTAGTAAGTGCCAACACTCCTTCAGCCAACCCTGTATCAACACCTATCATTGGCTCCATCTATGGTTTCCTCACTGCACTCCTGGATTGAGATCAATCATGATTGGTTTGTGACCTCACAGCTCAGCCCATCACAGGATTCCAGGCTCTCAACTCGAAGGAGGAAGGGGGAGGGGGATTCCATTATAAAGTACAATGAATGATTCTCTAGAAGCCTTCATACTCACCTCTAGTTCAGCCCTTCAGTCCAGTCTAGCAAACCTACTCCACCAAATATGTATTACAATGTGTGAGAATTATCAATCAAGTTGTAATTAATTTTTTTTTTAAAATAATAATAATAAAATTAGACACATCCGATTGGAGGCCGCACAACGAACAGACAGGAAGACTGATAGACAGGCAGGAAATCGAGTACTCTCAAGGCCAAAAGTATTTATCAGTCATCACTCGCTATACCCGTCCAGTCTACCAACGCTCATGTCGGATTAAAAGCTCCCAGGTCACGGGCCACGGGAGCCATGCAGGAGGTACCATATGCCGCTGCACCAATCCCGTGTCGCTAACCATAGAATAAATAAACATATCATACAATGAAAAGTACGGTATCACACGTATGGTATCCACCACCACCCAACCTATGATTCTTCAGAATTATTATATAATGGACCTTTGCGCTTTCCCATTTATCATCATATGATAACAGATATGATTGTCCCAGACATAGCAGCCGCAGATTTGGGGGGGGGGGAATAAATGAATAAATAAATAGATAAAAAAAACCCATCCGAGTACTGGCAAATACAAATCCGGAAATACCTTCTTCCTTCCTTCCTTCCTTGGAAACAAGGAAAAGGAAAAGGCAAAAAGTATAAATAGTCCTACCGCAAGAGTGCAAAATCACCGCTTTCACCAACTCTCCTCTCGCTCTCTATGCCCCCTCCCTTTTACCCCCCCACTGCATAGTCCTTCCTTCCTTAACATTAAGCAGTGGGTGATGTTTGACATGTTTCCGTAGCACTCACCATGTCATGGGCAGAACTTACAGTCAGTCAGTCATCAGCACGTGCACGAGTGATCATACATGATACGGAAATTACCGGTATTGGAAGGAAATCCAACCCCCCCCGGCAAGGTAATAATAACGATACGGTGTCATGACACAAGTACCGGTAATGGACTCATGACTGTGCATTCAGATAGAAATTGTAGCGGAATCGGCGACGGTGGATATATATCTCAATCTAGGTCGGGCTGTGAAATATTTTTTCTATCGTGACATGCCCAACAGGCCCTTATTTTATTTTTATTTTTATTTTTCTGGGAGTGGTTTTGCTCCTGGGGTCTCGGGTGCGGTATTGTACTGTACTGCCGGGACACAGCTGTCATGGACTGGTCGGGTGGGCGCGATATGACGGGATTAGGTAGGATTGGAAAACCCCTGAGCAGATTGGCCGAGTGATATCATACGTGTTAACAGTGCACTAGCGTCAACAGAGTTCTAGTAGCTCTCTGATGTATCATACCCCCAGGCTCTCACCGGCCCTCCTCCACCGCCGGAACCTTGCAGAAGTTGTTCACTGGCAAAATAAAAAAAAGATGGGAAAATGGTTTTTTATGGAACTTGCTCCTATCCGATCGGGATTGGTCACCCGAGGGAGGGGTAGTTGGTTGGTCGTCCCGTTTTGCTATCTTGGACTTGAGTTGATGGGGTACGGTATTTATCATACGGTACCTGAGGTGTTAAGCTGCTAGAACTTTGCGGAGACGAGTGCGCAGATGACTAGCTTGTGTTCACTCTGGGAAACGTCCTGGTTTTGTGATACTGGTGTATTTAAGTTTTTCTACAGTATAATGAGGAGTAACTTAACGCCGCAGGACAAATCCCCCATCAGCCTGTAGATTTTCCACGCTAGGTATTGGGAATGGTTCGTAACTTAGGGTCTTTCACGAGCTTTTTATTCGAGGTCGTAAACTGGTAAGCTTCACACACTTACAAATTGAACAGCCAAATTGAGCCTTCGCACACGCAAGAGAATTCTAAAAGAGGACCGTAAAAATCAAATTAATGCAAGGAAAAGAAAGGAACAAACACAAAGGTTAGATTCTCAGGTACAAACTTTGTAGTTATAGATTGTCTTTACCTGTTCTCTCATCTCTCTTCTGCTCGTCTCTCGTCCTCGTCTCCTAGTTGGAAAGAGAAGGGAGGGGAGAAATCCCTCTGTGGTCCACAGCGCATCACCATGGCTAGTTACAGCTAAACCCTAACAAATCAAACAAAACCTAATTAACACTACAGTATAAAACCCCAGGTTTATACAAAAGAAAACAAACTTGTTTTCACCCCCTACAGTGCTGGTGGTTCCATCGCTTACCCCCCATGGTTCTTCCTCACCTGCCAGTCACGGTTTCACCTTTTCTTCCATCTTCGGTTCTCCTAGCCTCTAATTTCTTCCTTGCAAGCTCGTCTAGCGACTTGAAAACATCAATCCCCTCACAAATTAGGAATAAACTAACTACTTCCTCCCTGTCCCATTGAATAGGAGGACGCAGTTGCGGCCAATAATTGTAATTCATCGGGTTTACATCCACCCGCTCATCCATTACCAGAATCCTCGCAACCGCCTCGTGTCTGTACGCTACCGCCCAATTCAGTGGTGTGCTGCCGTAGCCTGTCCTGGGGTTGACGTTGATGTCTGGGTGGTCTAGAAGGAGGCGGACCACCTTGTCATGCCCGATTGCAGCAGCCACAATGAGGGGTGTTCCGGAGCTTCTGTGTTTCGTGGCATTCACATGCACTCCTGTATGGGAGAGTAGAAGCCTGACTGCTTCTTCGTGGCCCATTTCCACTGCAATCAGTAGGGGCGTTTGACCGTCGGCGTCCCCGGCGTTGACATCTATTCCCGGCTGGGAGAGCAGTAATTTCATGACGGGAGCGTTCCCACAGCTTGCTGCGACGGATAGCGGTGTCTGGCCGTCGTGCGATATACTCCCTACTTCAATACCGCATTCTTCTAGAAGCTTTCGCACAACCTTTTCGCTCTGGGTTTCTATTGCGTCGTTGAGGAGCCTGCCTGTGCCCGCTAGTTGGAGGATGCCTCTTTTGATAAGTCTTTCCACAGCTGCTTCGTCTTCGCGCTCTATCGCCGAGTAGAATGCTTTCATACCCCGTTCGGTGAGGTGGGGGGTGCATACTGCATCTAGGAGAACAGGGGTGAGGAGGATTGCAAGGCGCCGATTAACCGTGAGGAGGGAGTTGAGATGGTGGATGTCATGGCTGAGGTATTGGCAGATGTGCAGGATTATTTCATGCGGAAGGCTAGAGAACGGCATAATGTTCTTTCACACACCGGAGTGTCCTGGGGATTTGTCTGCGAGTTTTATGGTAACGGTATTCTAGTGCCGGAGTGGAGGAAGGAAGGCTGGGAAAATCTTTAAGTGGTGATTGATTACTTGCACTTCAAAGACTTGGCAGAAGTCCATTGACTTTGCCCAGCACCGGCACTATGTCCCGGCAGGCTTGGAAATTTGTTGTCCAAGTATACGGTATCCCTTTTTCTTTTTTAGGAAAAGTGCTAATGGCGGGGGCACATCAGATCCTCATGGGGTGACATGTTCTACCTGTTACACATAAGTAGTAAGTGCCAACACTCTTTCAGCCAACCCTGTATCAACACCTATCATTGGCTCCACCTATGGTTTCCTTACCGCACTCCTGAACCGAAATGAATCATGATTGGTTTCCCCACACCGCAACTCAGCCTATCACGGGATTCGAGGCTCTCAACTCTCGGGAGGAAGGGGGAAGGGGGATTCCATTATAAAGTACAATGAATGGTTCTCTAGAAGCCTTCATACTCACCTCTAGTTCAGCCCTTCAGTCCGCCCTAGCCAAACCACTCCACCCAATATTTAGTAAACTCTACACATCTCACTCCCTCTAGCCACCGCGCTAACATATAATAAAACACAACAGGTATGTACAGTAGTATCATAGCAGTACAGTGGTGTTTAATGAGTTTTTCTTTCAAGCTTCCAACCCTGAAAACCCGAGTTATCAATCAAGTTAAATTGCACATATCCGATTGGTATCTACAAAACGTACAGAAAGGGAGACAGATAGACAGACAGGACATCAAATACCCCCGAGGCCAAAAGCATTATCAACCATCATTCATCCATTATACCCATTCAATCTGCCAACGCTCGTGTTGGATTAAGAGCTCGAGGGTCACGGGCTACTACCGTATGCGATCCATGCAGGAAGTGCTGCACAGCGCTGTCCCGCGCCCGCGTTGCAATTAGTACCAACCATAGAATAAATAAAGAACGTATCATATAATGAAAAGTACGCTGTCACACTTATGATATCCACCACCGTCCTGCCCATGATTCTTCCGAATTATTATATAATGGACCTTTACGCTTCCCAATCTTCAATCCCCCCCCCCCCCTTTTTTATACCCTCACTACATAGTCCTTCCTTCCTTAACATTAAGCAGTAGGTGATTCTTGGCATGTTGCCGTCGTACTCACCATGCCACGGACAGAATTTACAGTCGGTCACCAATATAGCACGAGTGATCGTGCATGATGCAAAAACTATTGGAAGGAAACCTGACCCTTCCTGCAAGGCGATAATAATACGGTAGCACGGGTGCCAGCAATGGACTTACGCCAGTCCATCCTGACAAAAACTGTGGTGGGATCGGCAATGGTGGATACATATCTCAACCTGGGTCGGGGAGTGACTCTCCTTTCTCCTTTCTTTTCTCTGCTTTTTCTTACTTTCTTTCACGTTCCACAGACTAGGGCTATGATACTGTTTACGAGTAGTTCAATTATCATATGGTTCATGCGGACCAAAACCGTAACCAGGCTGAAAGAGAAATGTTACGTGGCTGTGCTACTATAGAGGTTAAGCCCTAACATTATTCATTCTAAAATAAGGTATTT